GATGATAAGATCGGCTCGGGGGGACGCGGGGGGCGCTCGGGAGATGGAAACGAGATGCACCGGCCTCTCCGTCGCTCCCTCGGCCTCGCTCCCTCCGGTAGGGAAAGGGGCGAGTCCGTCCTATCAATCACGGTATTATTATCGAGTCCGTGATTAGCAAGGCATGCTAACGATATATCTGCCCGAGGGCGATGCTAGGCCAGGGTGCGGCTTCGTGCACACCCGTGTACACGCCCGTGTGCTCGCTGTGCTCGATGCCTCGCCGTTCGCGTCTCCGGATCTATCCCCGAGGGAGCAGCGGTGGATACTTCGCCGATGGACCCCGGATGCTGCGGACCCTTAACGATCCGCGACTCGCGATATGGATCTTCGATCCTCTTTTGGATATTTCGCGGAGGTGAGGACAGTCGCGAGGAACGATCACGGGGGAAACTTCCGTTTTTCGGATGCTCCCCTCTTTCGGGGGCGTGGGTCGCCGAGGGGGGTGGCGATCGCGCGAACCGACGAACAAGCGCGACCCCGATGAACCCCGGTAACGAATTCTCTCGCGGGTCGGACAATCGCGCCAAATCATTGCTACATTTTATTCGAGTTATACGGATCGCTCGCGCAATGCGATTCGCGGCTAAACGCGTTACCGGCAACGTAATTTAACCCCGGCTTGTGTCGCGCGCGTCGCACGCTCCGGCGAATGCACGCGTGCACCCGCGTGCCTCGTGACGCGTATTTCTCCTCCCCTCGTTCCTTCCCTCCTTCTTGCCCGTCCGGATATATTTCCTCCTCGACCCTCTCCTGGTGGAGGACCTTCCGTCTTTGCCCGTCGGTCCTCGAGTCGATTTTTATATAATTAATTTATTTCTTTTTGTCTGTAGTTTATTCGCTTTTATCTAGCCCCGTTGAGGAATCCACCTTGAAGGGGTGCGCGACGAAGTTCACGGGGTTTCGGCGTCCCTCTATCTCCCTCCACAAGTTAGCCCGCGAATGATCGCGCGGAGTCATCCAGCCGTACACCTCGGCATTATTCGCTGGCGCTGCACCGACCCTCCCCCGGCGCGCCAGCGGGTAATGATATTTCGCGCCCATTATGAAATATTCGAAATGATTTGCCAGGATTGTGCATTTTGATTCGCCGCCCGCCTACGTTACCGCGGGGGAGCCGGCCGATATTTGCCCGCGGATCGGACGACGAGCCAATTTCGACCGGGCCGGGGAACTCGTCCCCGAATTCCGAAGGGGGACCGAGAGATCGTCCTCCGGCCCGGAAGCAAGAATCCGCGAGGATCGCGGCGACGTCGTCCGAGGGAAAAGATTTTTTCGAGGTCGTTTGCGACCAGGGAGGGTTGGGGACGGAAAATCGGGCCACTGGGGGCGTCGCGCCCCCGGGTAAATACGCCCGGGCGAGGTCGCGGACGACCCCCTGCGAGGCGGGGGACCCGGGGTTCCCGAAGGAAGGCGTCCTCCCGCGGGTCGGGCCGATATCGCCATCGGCGTAAATAATTCCGCCCTCGTCGCCGGACAGGGGTCGCTACCGGGGTTGGTTTAAATTCTCTTCCGTCACCGCAAACATGCATAATGCAGCCGCGCGGCGCGTGTAAACGTGTAAACGCCCGGCGCACGGCGGTGCCAACCGCTAAATACAAAAATCCCCAACCACCTGTGCGCGCGCCCGCTCGCGCGATGTGTGCCTCCAAGTTAATTACGGCATAATTGCGGTCGACGTTTTGGCGTTCGCGCTCAGCGCGCGCCGAAGATTCCGAAAAATCCGCGCGGGCCCCGTCCGAATCGTGGCGGTCGATCGAGAGCACTCCTTTCACCTCCCCCATTTTTCTTTTTTTTTTTTCTCTACTTTTTCTACGCACCTAGGTGCGGAGCCCGCGGGTCTAAGGCCACACCCTCCTTGCGCATAAATTAATGCCGGCGCACCGAGAGCGAGGTGCGTTTCCCGCGCCCCCCCCCCCCCCGTGTGCGGCTCGCACCGGCGCATACACCCCCGTAATACGGTATAGAACACAATTAAGTAAATGAGCGCGGGTTGTGCGCCCTATAGATAGGCTCTATTACCTGTATTGATCTCTAGCGCGGACTCCGGTTACACGTAATACGTGTTTTGTCGTTTATGCATTCGTACGAGTAGGTAACTGCGGAGCGCGCGAGAGAGAGGCGGCGACCCCGCGGGGGGGGGGCAGCGGGAGGGGGACGCTACCAGAGGGGGAGAGAAAGAGAACATGCGCCTCGCGATGCGAGTAGCTCTACCGCTGTTTGCCGCGTAGCTACCTTCGAGCACTCGTCTGCCCATCTACCCCTTGCCACCCCACCTGCACGCGGTATCCACCCCCCACGACCATCTGCATTTCCAACCCCCCCCCGGGCTGCTCTCGATGTTCTCCGCGATGTTCCTCCGATCGATACGCCGATGCCTCGCGGTGTCCGATTCGAGATTATCGGATCCACCCTCCCCCGGAAAATTGCACGGAATTTCCCTGGATTTTTCCTTTTTATTTTATTTTAATTTTTTTTTTCACCCCCGTTTTTTCTTTTTTCGCGTTCTATATCGTAGAGGAAAAAATTAAAGCAGGCCTCGGTCGATCGGCTGATCGCTCATTGTCCGACTTCCCGTGCTCGCTAGGTACAAATTATGCTATCCAGGGTACACCGGCGCGATTAGTCGCCAGTTCGCACGCCGGCGGTTCGGATGAATTAATTAACGGCCAGAGACGGCGACGGCGCGTGTCGCAATCCCGCCGATTGCGGACAACCGGCGCGACCTGGCAGTCTTTTCCGGGGTGGCGAGCGAAGGGGAGGATCGGCTCGCGGCGTGTCGCTCCTAGGAGGCGACGGGTGCCGGAAAGACCCCCATCTGGGAATGGAGACGCCTCGCTTATTTATTTTCCTTTCCGCTGATTATAATATTACGCAAGCCCCCGGACTGTCGTAACGCGGATGCTAATGCCTCGCATACGTATACCGTGTCGCGGGTAGACTCCGCCGGAACGCCCGGTCGACTGCGTATTTTATTCATACCCGACGCGCGCGCCGGGACGCCCCCGTACGCGTCCCGTCTAACGGAGAGACGATGCGTTTAGGTTTTGAACACTTGTTAGCAACGACGGGAATCCCCGATTCTATCTCGCGTCTTGGCCTTTTTCGATTTTTTTTTTTTCATACCTTGATAAGGGCGCGATTCGATAGGTAGACCCAACGTCGAACTCTTCCTTCGGAGGCGAGACTCGGCCCAGATCGGTGCCGCGATCCGCGGATCCGCGATACCCGCGAGACGTAACGCACAGATTGCATCGAATAACGCGGATTTTTCTCCGGCCGGTCTCCGTGGGTTGTGAATTTATGTAACATCCACGGCCGGGAGATTGCGCGGATAAGGAGCGCTACACCGGCGTCCCTCGGGCGCGACTCCCGGGGGTGCTCTCTCTCTCTCGGGGTCTCGATTTTTCCCCCTTATTTGTCTCTAGATATTTATTTTTATTTTTTTTTCTTTTTTTCACGCGAGAATCATGAGATTTCTTGGGAAGATCCCAGGAAGGATTTCCCTTTTAAGGGGTTGGGCGGGACTTGGGGATTTTTAGGGCCGACCGATGCGTTCGTTATCGCCCGTTTTCGCTCGTTTTCGGGGAGACGCCGCGCGGATGTAAGTCCCGGCGGAAACTCGGCGCGTTTCCTCCCGCACGCGGGCTGCCGTTTAGATTCGATTTGCCGCTTCGTTACGCGGCGAGATTTACACGGGCTGATAGGATTGTTCCTACCGGGCCACCCCGCCCCCCGGGGGCTCGGTCCTCTCTCTCTCGCGCGCCTTTCCTCTCGGCCTCGCTCTCGCGCGGCGCTCTTTTATATAACATCTTTCGTCATTAGATGCCCCGCGCGATCTCCGGATCGGCGCGCATAATTTTCGCTTCCTCCGCGGAGATAATGCCCGGGCTCGATTTACATTTCAAATTCCCCGGCGGCGCGGCCCTCGATCCATCGCGTCTCGGCCCGATCGATCGGCGATCGCGAGCCAGCGTGGACTACTTGCCCCCCTCTCATCGACCACCTCTTTTCCTCCTTCGTCGCGTGGTTCGGAAGGTGAGGGGGGAAAAAAAAATAAAAAAAAAGAGAAAATGGACCATCTCGCGTTTGCCGGAAGACCCGACTCGCGATCGTGGACGTGGTGGACGTCGCGAAACCTGGACCGAGGAGTGGCCCCGCACCCCTCCCCGCTTTAGTTGGGGCGCTAGGAGGAATGCGGTGAATAATTGATCGAAACGGGTCGGCCGCCCCCGGGGGCCGGTACATCGGACCTTTTACATGATTCAGGAGTAAACGTCTTACGACCCCCGGCGCTTAAAAGCGGGACCGCGCGAAGGGCCCGCGAATTCCCCTCCCGGGGGGAGGAGTGGGTGGCGGGTCGCTTAAACAAAATTAATCGCAGGGAAGGATTTCCAACGGCCTCGGTCGCGTAAGTGGCGGAATTTATTTAAAACCCCACCGAGCCCGACCTCGCGCGTAAACTTTTTTCCGGCCGATAAGCTCTCGGCGCGGCCGGGAAGGGAGGGGGGAGGGCTTATCCCAAGGGATGCGCTAAAAAGGAAAGGAAGCCCGGCGCAGAAGTAATAAGTTAGTAATAATATTTTCATAATATCTCGCCCGGATTGGATGTTATTTCATTACATTTTATTGCCCCGCGCTATTACTCCCAGGCAGCGCGGCAGCCCCCCCTCGGCCCCTCCCCCTCCCTGGCCCGGCTCTGTTTTATTATCTCGGGCCTCCGCCGAGGGAATTCACTCGCGAAACTCATTATTGAGAGGTTTATTCTGCTGTAACCGGTGCCGCAGCCGCCGCCACGTGTCGGCTCGGCTGCTCCGGTCGCTCCCGCTGCCGCCTCCCACGTAGCCCCGAACTCCTTGGAAAATCTCCTTGCCCTACGAACTTTATTCCCACCCCCTTCTTCCTTTGCGTAATCCGGATTCGATGACGGGATGCGTACTCACGACGGAAATCGTTTTCAGGGAGCCACGAGTCGGCGCCGGTGGGCCCATGGACCCGGACGAGAGTCGCGGCCGGAATGCCGCGAGCGCGGACCTCCGCGGAGGATTTCCGACCAGGAGGTGGGAGGTCATGTAACCTGCAGGTAACGTCAGCCAGGTAACGTCCACCGGGGAGCCGATCCCTTGGCCGACGGGGGCGAGTCCTCGGACTCGAGGCCGAGAGGCCAACCTCGCCGTGACCGATACAACAATTTATCCGGCCCCGGGTATTTAAATAGTTATGACCTAGTCGTCCGAGTGACGGAGCTATTTCATCACGCGTTAACTTGGACGAATTAAATTCGCCGCGCCGCTTTCGCGAATTAAGCCCCGCTCGCCCACGAGCCTCGCGGCCGCGACTCGCGCTCGTCCTCGCGGCCGAGAGACTTCCTGTCGATTTCCCTCCGCTTCGCATTTTTTTAAAATTTTTTAATAATTAAATCGTGTATCGTTGTATACGTCGAAGGTCTTTCCTGCGCGAGTCACGCCGAGCCCGGGTCGAATCGTCGTTTCCGCATCCGGAGGTCGCCCTGATTCTCGTGACCCGAGTCGGGGGATGGACAAGGGTAGGTGGGAAAGGACCGTCCCCTGTTCGGGTGGACGCGTCGATCGAGTCGTCCCGTCCAGGACGTCGATCCCGACCGGATTTTGTTGCAACCCGCCGGCGGAGACGCCGCGGAAGGCCGGTGGTCCCGAATTCGCGAGGGTGTCTCGTGTCTTGACTTGTTTACGTTTTATTCCGCCGGAGAGAAGGCTCGAGTGGGAGGTGCACTCGTAGGCAGAGAGCTAGGCCAGGTTTCGAGCACCGGGTCTCGGCGCCGGGGGTGGAGGAGCCTAGGTGACAAAGCCCACCCCCGGCCCGCAGCCTCCGGCGACGCGACGTACCGGCACTCGGTACACACCCCGGTACTCGGTGCGCCCGTGGCGACCCTCTGTACGTTTAATTGTTATATTTATAAAGGGGTGACCGCCCGGCCGCGCCCCTCGCCCTCGACTTTTAGGACGACCGCGTTAGGGTGGCGCGACCCTTGCGGACCCCCCGCTCGAATCGATACACACCGCGAACACCGCGCCGCGGAACAAAGCCCGGAAGGGAGGCCCGCGATGACCCCGAGTCGCGCCCTTGGAAACGCGAGAGAAATCGCCGAGATCGATAAATCCACCCCCTCGTGGCCTGCGATCGATTCGCCACTAAGGGTCGACCCACCGTTAACGGCCGGTAAAAAAAAAAAATCCTTTGCAGTCGAAGGACCCTTCTCGGTCGATTTGCTTCCGCGCCGCTCGATATCTCTTGTCCCGCGGAACTGGGATCCACGCGGGGAGGTTCTTACCCCCGAGTCGATGCAGGGGAAATCAGGGGCGGATTCGGGCCGCGGGCGAATATTGGGCAACTAATTATCTAATCAGTCATTACCTAGCACGGACTCGCGCAGGGCGGGCCGTGGCGATGCCGGTCCTGGGGGTAGCTCGAGAGCTGGCGAGGGGTGGACGGGGGTGGGTGGGTGGCGGCGGGTGGGTACATACCTAGAACGGAGAATGGGTTGCCCAGAGGCCCATTGTGATACGCGAACCAGAATCATGCACGATCGTATATTATGGATGGGGTGCGAGGGAGCGAGAGGCATCGCTTAGATAAAGAGACGCGCGCGCTTCCTCCCTCGCGGGGGAGGAGGCGCAGGGGTGAAATCGGATAGCACGGGCGATCGAGGCGAACCGGGGGATCGATGCTTATTTTCTTTGCCCGATCATCGGGGACTCGTCCGCCCCCTCTTGCCCTATCGACCTATCAAACCGCGGACGCGATTCGCACCGACGCCGACCCCGCGACCCCTGATTCGACCGGCTCCCCCTCCGTTGGGTTCTCGCCCTCCGAGGGAACCGGGATTTTTCGTTTCGACTCGCCCTGGATACGGACTCCGGGGGTGCTGGCGTTTCCGAGGGGTGGCCTCCCCGACGATGGGGACGTCGCCGCCTTCCGGGTCCGTCGCGGCGGACGCATGGGGCCCTGAATAATCGACGAGCCACCCTCGAGGCATTCCCGCGATTACCGGCAACCCTTCCTTCGTCCGCGGTGTTCCTCGGTTTTTCTCAATAATTCAACGTCGGGGCATTTCCCCCCCCGCCCGGGACGTCGTCGCGACGCGGCGCGTCGGTTTCGGAGGGCGCGGATTAAATCTAAAGTCAGAAGGGACACCGCGAAAGAGTCGGCGAAAGAGTGGCGCGCCGCAACCCCTGCCCGGGAAATTTGAATATTCCCCGAGGGGTCGCGTTGCGGCCGCCGCTACGGGAGATCTGTCAAGGATTTCGTTAGCCATTCGTCGACGCAAACGGGTTAACGTCCGTTCGCACCTCCGAGGCGGACGGGAGGGGCTCGTTTCGCGATCCTCTGGCGCGTTTGCTGCTATTGACAGCGTCGCGTGGGCGCGGGAGTGCGTGCGGTGCGCGCGGGACATACGGGGTGGCGCACAAACGGCACAGAGGGCCGACTCGACCTCTGAAAGTTGGTATTGTCGTCGGTTGCAAATCAAATACCCGATATCATTGTTCGACCCGGCCTCCTGCCACGCTCGTCCTCCCCCGGCCGACGCGCGAGGGCTAACAACTATTGTCGCCTGACGTATCGCGGGGCCGTCGACGCCGCTCGCGATCCGCAAGGAGCGCCCCGCTTCCCGGTCAATCCTGGTTCCTCCTGGAAGGGAAAAAAAAGTAATAAAAGTATCCTCGGGTCGAAGTCGAGAGCCCGGGTTCCGCCACCTCCGTCGCCGCCGCATCCGTCCCGCGGCCGACTACCCAGATGGAGGCCTGAAATTAGCCATTTCCGCTGTAATCGCCACACTCGAGTTCCCTCGACGTATACACAACCTGGCTTACCGTATTGTACAAGAACAATGAGCAAAGAGAAATATTGATGAACCACTCGCCGCCGCGTACCGACGCGTACTCGCGCGTGCACTCGCCTCCGACGAGAGACGCGAAATGCAAGGGGCGTCGATACCGTTTTCGAGGAGAACGGTTTACACGGTCGTGGGAATAAAATTCCCCGAGACCGAGGCTAGATTCCCCGGGAAATCCAGGAGCAACTTTTGTCTCGGATAAGTTCGACCTCCTTTATTTCTAGTTTTTTTTTTAATAGTTTTTTTCCCCTTTTTTTCGGGCGCGTCCGCGCGCACTCCGACGCCCTCGCGAATTTCGGAGGGTGACTCCGGGTCGGGGGATAAGGCCGACTGCAGGGGCGCGGGACCGAGACGGGGATAATAAAACACGGCGGGGATGAGAGGAAGGGTTACTCGGTTAATATTTCAACATCGCGAAATTCGGTCGCTGAATCATTAAACCCCCCGCCGTCACCTGCGGCCCTCCCTTGGCCCCCTCGTGCACCGAGCACTTGCACGCATTCGCCTTCTTCGACGTCTTTCGGCCCCCCTCCCTCGACTGCATATGATATATGTATTTCTCGATTCGATTTTTCGAGGAAAAAAAAATAATAATAATAAAAAAAAATAAGGGAACAAAGGAGAGAAAAGGGGTGACGTTGCCGGGGCGCGAATCCCGCGGCTCGCGGGGTGCGGTCTAAATTTTTCCCATCGGCGGGAACGCGCGCAGGGTGTTAGTATACTGCTTGCAGTTAAACAATATTACGTAGTAAAATTTATGACCCCCTGCCGGCGCCCTCCTCGCCCCCTCCCTTTCTCTCTCTCTCTCTCTCTCTCTCTCCGTTTCCCTCCGGCGGGGCCGGCTCTCGTCGGCCGCCGCGCGGAAAAAAAAAGAAAAAAAAAATGTCAACGAATGCGCGATACGAGAAATACTCGCGTTATAACGCGAGAGGGTCCTACCGAGGCGAGACAACCCCGCGACCCGGCGATGTCGCGTTTATATCTCTGGCCCTTCGCGCCGTAACGCATCCCGTTGCGGCGCCCCGCAGAAGGGTGCGTCCTCCACCCGCGAGGGCCGATTTCGTCCGTTATTTCGCGGCTTATCGGGGAAATCGCGGTGAGAATTAGCGATTCCGGGCGTGCCGGTCGCGTTTTCGTCCTCCCGTCCCCGGATAATTCGGGGAGGGAACCGGCGATTTTGCGGGCGAAACGCGCGGCGCCAGCGACGACGCCGGGAAAAGGAACGCCGAGAGAGGGAGAGAGACGGGGTCGCGTACGTGTAAAAAGGAGAGTGCACGGAGGAATATAGGTAATATAATGGTCTCTTTCCGCGGGCACGGTAACGCGCGGCCGCACCTCATGTTTATACAGCGGGGCCCATAAAAAGCCGGCAATATTCTTTCATCGGTACCCCACGCGCCGTTACCGACGGTACTACCGACGCTACTACCGACTCATTCGTCGTTCGCAATCACACCGTAGCCGAGGCCGCGCGGGCGCTCGGTGCCGTTACTCTTTTACACGTCTAATATCGCGTTTACCGTTATGAAACCGAAAAAAGAAAGGGAGAGACGGAGGGAGCGAGAGAGAGAGGGAGACGGGGGGCATAACCAGGAGAAACGAGCGACGCACGGTGCGTAACTCCGGGAGGGTCGGCCAGGGGGGAGGGTGACGGATCGTCGCCTCTCGACTCCGGAGGAAAAACGAATCCCCCCGGGAGGGATTTTTCCCTTTTCCTTTCCGCGGAGTCCCTTGGCCTTATTTTTTTCCCGGCCGAATTCGGGGGTGGAGTCGCCGCCGAGGAGCTCGGACCCGCGCGGCGACCGGACGCGGCCCGGTCGCGGCCGCGGAGGCGGTTTGGGGCGGTCTTCCCGGGGCGGAGCCTGCGTCCGCGAGATCGGCAAGGAAGGGGCTTTTCGCACCGACGGAGGGGCGGCGGCGCCGTCGGGAGGAGAGAGGCGCCGACCGGCGGTCGGGCGGTGGGAGCGAGAGGGACTCGGCGGAGTGGGGGGCGACGGCCGTCGCCGCGCCGGCCCGAGGGAGGGGGGCCGGCCGCCTCCCGGTCGGCGCGACGTCGCCGCGGGCCTCGGCTCAGTCGCGGCGCGCACGTCACGCGGAGCGGTACCTCGTCGCCGGTCGGTCCCGGGCTCTCCCCTTCTCTCTCGACCGAGCGAGCGCGAGTCGTCGGGTCGGACCTCCTCTCGGACGCTTCCGGAAGCATGCTCGGGCCCTCGGCGCGGGGCCCGGCCTTGGGCCGTTGAGGCGGGAACGCGCCGGAGACGGACCGCGGCGCGATGGCGGCCTCGGGATGATCGGCGGCCCCGGGTGAGACTCGCCGGAGAGAGAGAGAGACCGGTCCTTCGCCAGCCCCCGGGACTCGTGCGCGCGTGTTGCAGATGGCCGCGCTCCGGCGTCCCTTCTGAGCGGCCGGCACCCACCAGTCCCAGCGCGGAGAGAGCGAGCGAGACCGAGGATGACGCAGCAAAGCGGCGCTGGGTCGCCCCAGCAGTTCTGCCTCCGGTGGAACAACTACCAGAGCAACCTGACGAACGTGTTCGACCAGCTGCTGCAGAGCGAGAGCTTCGTCGACGTGACCCTGGCCTGCGACGGGCACTCGGTCAAGGCGCACAAGATGGTCCTCTCGGCGTGCAGCCCCTACTTCCAGGCCCTCTTCTTCGACAACCCCTGCCAGCACCCCATCGTCATCATGAAGGACATCAAGTGGCCGGAGCTCAAGGCGGCGGTCGAGTTCATGTACAAGGGCGAGATCAACGTCTCCCAGGAGCAGATCGGCCCGCTCCTCAAGGTCGCCGAGAGCCTCAAGATCCGCGGCCTGGCCGACGTCAACAGCGAGCACGAGCTGACCTCCCGGCCCGCGGCCGCCCTGGCCGAGGAGTCGGCCCTCGGGGGAGGCCTGCCCCGCAAGAAGCGGCGCCGCGCCTCCGGTGACCGCTCGCCCCTGCCCGGTAACAGTCCCGACCGGACCGACGACGCCGACGCCGGGCCCGACGGCCACCCTGGCGCCAACCCCGGTCCCGGCGGCTCCCCTGGCGCCTCGCTGCCCGCCATCTCCGTCACGCCGCAGATCAACCTGCAGGAGCTGCCCGTGTCGCTCTCGCTGCCGCCCCCGCACCCCCAGCACCCCTCGGCGCCCCAGCAGACGCAGACCTCCGCTCTCGGGCACCACGTGGCCGGCCACGTGACTTCCGGCCCCCACGCCGCCGTCAACGCGCTCTCCGTGCAGCAGCAGCAGCAGCAGCACCCGCACCAGCAGCACCAGCAGCAGCACCCGCAGCAGCAGCAGCAGCAGCATCAGCAGCAGCAGGCCGCCAACGCCGCCAACGCCGACGACCTGGAGATCAAGCCCGGCATCGCCGAGATGATTCGGGAGGAGGAAAGGGTGAGTCGCTTTTTCTTCCCGAGGAGGTTCCCCGGGACCCGTACTGCGAATTTTCTCGAGGTCGCCGACCCGAGTGACATCTCGCCCTGGGAACTGGAGTCTCCTTATTTTTCTTTTTTTTTTTTGTTTATTTATTTATTTAATAAGGTATTTGTCGGTAACGACCTATCGCGGGCACGCTCCTCGTGCGTCACGCCGGGAGGATCCGAGGCTAACGTATCGGCGCGTGACGTCATCCCGGGGATAACGATACAACGAGAGTTTATAATAATAAACGGAGAGTCCGTCGCCGATTCGGGCTCCCTTTCCCGCCCACCCTTTCTCCCCGGGGTCTTGCGCCGGTTGCGAAACCGCGGCTACACGCCGTATAATAGGAATAGGTTACGTTCCGTAGAATTCCATTACGCTAACGCGCTTCGGGGCTCTCCCGCCGTTTCCATTCGTCCGGGGCAACGGATCGGAATGCCTAATTGATACGGAACGGAATTCACGGAAGGTATATGCCCCCCCTCTGGTCGGAGGAGGCGCGGCTCGCCTCGAGATTTCCTCCTCTCGGCGCCCTCCTTTCCGCGACGCGGAACGCGGAAGGGGGATACCGTCCGAGGGGACTCCCTTCCGTCCACTCGCCGGACGGGGGAGATTTCCGCGCCGCGCGCTGCCTTTCTAACGCCTCGTAATTGTCCGCCCAACGAGGGCGGCCGATTACCCTCCCCCCGATAACGGGGAGCGTTGCCCCCGTCATCGACGGGCCGGCTTTCGCCGACTTTCCCCGCGTGCGGGATTTTCCTCGCGCGCGGCTAACGGAAGCGGGAGCGACGCGGCCGTGAGGGCGCACTTCCTGCGGGTGGAGCGGCGCGGATCGAAGAAATTTAATCTTCCCTCGCGCGTCGTCCTTTTGTCGCGATAACGGATCCCGCCGTCGACGGGCCGCGCGCGGCGAAAAAGTCCGGCGGGACGGTAAATCGCGAGCCGGCGGGAGCGGCCCGGGCGCGCCATTCATCCCGGCACCGGATGCGAGTGCATATTTCCTCCGTTCCGTTTAAATTAGCGGCAGAGGGAGGGAGGGAGGGGGAGGGGCAGACGCTCGCGGAGACGCCGGACGCGTCGCGCATCGATTCCGCGTTGATCAACGCAACGCGCGAGACGCGCGTAAGCGATCTATCGCCCTCCACCTCCCCGTCGTTCCGTCCCGTTCCTCCCCATGGCCGGGGCGAAATTGAAAAGTTTGATGCATCCCCGGCCGTGACTCGCCCCCTCGGACGGACGCGCGGCCCGGCACCCCCGGAACGGCCGGCGGCGGCCCGCGCCCCGAGACCCCGATTTTCCGCTGGCGGACGGCCTCCGGATGCGCCCTCTTCGATGGCGAGGGGCGCCGCCACTTTGAGCACGTTGACGAGAACGTAATTGAATCGAGATCGCCGCCGCGGCGGAGCAAACGCGCGGAGGCGATGCCGCGTCGGGGAATTCCGCGCTCCCGGAGCGCCCGCCGGGAGCCGCCGGGAGCACCCGGGAGCCCCGAGGGCCCCGGGCACTCGACACGCGAGCGGAATCACGCGACGTCTCGCGGCCAGGCGTCGGTTACGTCTCGGACCCTCCGCCGCGGCGGGCAACTTTGTAAGGGCCTCCGGAGCCGACTCCTCCCTGGAACGTCTCCTCGACGGACACGTAGCTCTCTGATGGCGGGGATGTCGCCGATTGCACGTCACCTAGACGTAACGTGGGGGCCTCTTCCTCGGGCCGCGTCCCTACCTCGACAGGTGTCCACGCCGAGGGTGACGCGGCCCGGTCGGGCGCGAACGGGCGACCCTGCGGAAAGAGAGAACGAGGAGGATACACCGGGCGGCCGAGCCGCGTCTCTTTCCTCGAAACCGCGCACGCACCGCTCGGCGTTTAACCCCCGGGGGCTGCCGCAACCTTGTATCGCGGCACGGTTTTCGTGACCGTTCCGTCGCGTTTCCCATCCGCGGGCGACCGGCAAGAAATTAATAGCCGCGCGGGGCGCAGCCTCCTCTCGCTCCCCCCCCTTTGTCCGGGTCCGCGATCTCTCTTTCTCCCTCTCTCTCATTCGAACGCGCCGGATCGGCCGGAGGTCCGGCATTACTCCTATTTTAATAAGGGACGGCTTAGCGCGGCCGTAATGGTATGTATTTTAAATATCTCGAAGATTGCCTTCCTAGGAAACTCTCCGCGTAATGGCAATACTCGGAACGTAATCCCCGGGGTATAAGCGTTTCTCTCGGCGCGCCGCGGACCACATAGGGCACTTCTCGGGCCCGTTTACCTCGGCTCTCGGCCTCCCCCCGTCTCCCTCCCTCCACGCGTCACCCGGACTTCCATCTCGAAACGCGAACGGGGACCCAAGTCTTCGGTCCTCTCGGGCGGGCGCGATCCCGGAAGCGGGACCTCCGATCGGCGGATTCGGCCCGCCGACCGGTGGCATCCGCGATTCCGCCGCGCGGCGGTAGGAAGCGGGGCCCCATAAATGATGCACGCGGCGCGGCCGCTCGACATCGACGGCAGGAAATCGTGAACAATTCAGGGAACGACGGCCGAGAGACCCGCCTCGGATGTGTAACGGGCCGCGCGATCGCGGAATTTCGCCGCGGGGGACGGGGGCACGGGATTCGGGTGCGGCGCGATCGCGGAACGGAGTCCGCGGCCGATTGCCCGCCTCGGGAAAAAGAAACGCCGCCCGGTCGAATGGGTTTCCATTTCCAAAATGGCAGGCCGCGATTTCCGCCCGGACGGCCCCGGTCACTCGCGGTAAATCAGGAATTATCTTGTCGGGGCTACCGTTGGCTGCCTTTTCCCATCGAAACTCGCATAAATACGAGCCCTTCCGTGTCCGGGGAGGCGCACCGGAGGGCCGGCCGTACGGTGGAGCTACGGCAGGGTGCAGGGATGGCACCGGTGCCCGCGTCGGTGGGACGGCGCGTCGTCTATCTATCTACGTGCGAACGCATGACGCGCGACTTGATGGACGGATGACCGGACCATTCCGCAGATTGCTTCGCTCCCGATCCGACCGGAAGTGGATTTATATTCCGTCGGTATCTGTCGTGGCCCCCTCGCCCCCGGCCCCGGGGGCGCGGCGCCGGATCCCAGGGGGATGATGGAGCGCCCGGTCGGGTCCCGCGCCTTGCAAGAAGCGGCCTCCGCCTCCGGAAGTCGACTCCACCCTGGACACGACCGTTTGGGAGGAGATCGAGGAAATGGTCCTCCGGGGTCGAGATCCCCCCCGGGGAGGGCGCGCGTCCGACGGGGCGCCGCCTAGGGGTTTCGGATTTCGGGCTCGTTCCGGCGGACGGTCGATAGCGTAGAGGTGAAAAACGCAAAGGCGGCCGGCAAAGCGGGCAAAAGTAGGTCCGAGGGCGCGCAAGAAAGACCCCGCCCGGGACTGGGTCGAGCCGGGGGGACGGGGGAAGACGAGAGGCGCCAGCAGTCGCCTCGGTAATTGCATTAAAAGTTGCCGGGGGCAAAAACACCCCCGCGGACGTGTTTCCCCCCCGCGGCTCTCTCGTCTCGTGAAAAATCATCCGCGGGGGGGAGAGGGCCCGCTCCCCCGCAAAAAGTCACCCCCTTTCCGCGGTCGAGCGGTCGCGACCTCTCCCGACCTGACCGGCGCCCTTCTTCGGGCTCGGAAGAAACTTTTCTCGATCGCGCGCAATCCGCGTCGCGGCCTCCCTCCACCTCACGGCCGGGAAACGCTTTACGCTTTACGCGAGTCGAGGGCGATCGAGCGGAGGAGCGTCGTCCTCTTACGTGCGCGGTTAGGCGGGACCGTCGGCCGACTTAATCGACGTAATCGACGCGGACCGACGTAACCAACGGGTAACCGGTGTAACCCGGGTGGATTGGGCGTGCTCGCGATTCGTGGCCACCCCCGGGGGTCGTCCGGGCGGGCAGTGGCGTCCCCCCCGAGTTCGGCCAGCCGGGCCAGGTGACCAATTGGAAAAACGGAATAAAAACGGGAAGTTTCCGGCACGCCGGGATGGCTCGGCGTAATCCTGCGCGGTGTGCGGCCGCGCGGTGGGGTGTTTACCCCACCCACCCGCGGGTGTCGCCACGGGGGCGGGGGGTCCCGCGGAAATTTCGAAAGTGTCCCGCGGAGGGGCGCTCGGAACGAAAACGGGGGGGCGGGGAGGACAAGGGGGGCCGCGGCGCGAATCCTCGCCGAGCGATCCTCGATAATTGTGGATTAAGGTTTCATCCATGGGGGGGNGGGGGGGGCGTGTGTGCCCGCGTTCGGGGGCGCGGGGGCCAACGACGGCGCATCGATCGTCGGAAACTTCGGACGAGCCGTCGTCGTCGAGTCGTCGGCCGAGTCGACGGGAGAGCGCGAGCGAGAGGGAGAGAGAGAAAGAGTCCGGGGGGGGGGCGAGAGGAAGAGGGAGAGGAGAGTAAGTTGACTTTGCATTATTTAACCGACGTCCTAGCACCCGTAACACGTGTTTCTTTTGAAGTCTCTCGTCCCCTTGAAATATTCAGGCTGACGTCACCGCCGTCATATTCCCCGCACGCGGAAACCCTGAAAAGCGTGCGACGGAACTCCGTCTCTCTCCCTCTCGCTCCTCCGGCGAGCGGAGGGGACGGGGGCCTCCACCTCCCCCCCTCGACGCACCTGCGGGGATTCGGACCGCGCGCGCGGCTCACCTGCGGCGCCCCTCGCGGTCCGCTTAAAGGGGGCAACCCTCCGTCTCCGTCCTCGGGATCCGGATGCTCCCGGCGTTAAGGATCCCTCCGCTTTAAGACCCCGACACCCCTGCCGGGGCGCGCACCTGTCGCGACTCTCCGCGGGGGGTCGCTCGCGCGCCACTTCCGGCGAATCCGGTCTCGATCGGTGGCCCAATTAGCCGCGACCGGGTCCAAGGGGGGGGTTTCGGTCGAGGGGCTCGACGGCATTCCTGGCGGTTTCTCTTCCCCACTTCCCTGTACCCGGGCTCCCCCGCGACCGGCCACCTGTAACCCGATCCACTGGATCCAGGGGAAGACGCGAGATA